CCTCTACTCTACCTCGCAGTCGACTTCAAATGCCATTTCTGGCCAACCCCTTAGGCACCTGTGAAAATCTCACGAAGTTCGTTGCCACCCACCTCATGCATGTACAGCCTGGCACTAAACGCGCCCGAACTGGGAGAAGCCACCTCCCTTCAGCATTGACTCTGCGCCCGCAATGTTTCTCTCGCATAGCAACGTACGATATTGCCAAATAGAAGCACAGAAGCTTCGCTGGTTGGGCTTCCAATTTGAAGATTTGAAGAAGCATCCGCTCTCATCATGATGCATCGAAACGAAGAACCAAGACATCTTGGTGCTCCTGTTGATATGTGTAGACTTGTTGCACATTCTGGGGTTGCCATGAAGGACCTGCAAGAGTAGACGTCTTGTTTGCAGCCAAGCTCGCCCTGCAGTCCTGGATCATCGGAACAGCACAGTCACCCCAACTGTCGCCAGCCATCAGGGTCTGAAAGAACCTAGGTCTGGGGTCCAAGCCATATCCACTGCGGTGAGTTTCAGGAAGGGCATCTTACTGTATGGGACGATGAATAAGTAGCCAGTCTCCCTGCAGGGGTTTCAATTTTCATCCTCAGGGCCTTCTACGAACACAGGGTGTCTTTTTTTTGCTGGGGCTTGGGAAGTCACAACCTAGACACCCTGAACTGAAACCCATGACATGTAGTGCTACGTAACACCTCTGGATTTGTAGGCCCCGAAACCCTTCAGGCCTACATAGCCTCAAAAGATATGAGCCCAAGACCTACGTAGGACTTTCTAATCTCAGTTTCCATCTATTCCCTTGGATTCACCATTTATTGGTGCAATATGCTTCACTATAGAAGTCCTAAGCCCTATATATCCCTACATGTGCCCGACCAAGAGGCATGAGCATAACGCTAAAGACCGAGTCGAAAGCCTGTGCAACAAGTTTGGGCTCTGGGGGAACTTAAGCTAAGTCGCCAATGACGGAGAATCAAGCTGCAAAACAGATGAACAGTGAAATGGCAACTGGATTTTTCAGGAAGTATCTTAAAAAGGCTGCATATTTACGAATATCAGTTCAGGTTCATTTGGGGATGGTATTGGTAGTTCAGCAGGCTTCTACATTGCTTTTTGTTCAGGGTTTGATTGTTGGAGCTGTGGGCTTGGGGGTTTTGGGTTCAATTCCCATTCATGATGACTGCTACTATGGCATTGCCCACACAGGCAGTGTAGACCAGACGGGGGTGCTAGGACTTCTGACTTGTGACAAGTTGCTGAAGCTGGGAGATGTCAAGGGCTCTAATCTAGGCCCATCTTACTATTGCCATTTGCTGTAACATGTATGAAAAATGTTACTTTCAGTACTTTTGCTCCTGTTACTATTATTCGTATCTTTATTACAGTATTACTATTCTTTCTGCGTATGAGCCCTTGTAAGCCCTCTTAAAGCACCTTTGCGGCTTGCGCATCGTCCGCCCCCAACATCATCCCCAAACCAATTTGTAAGGCTGCCTCCCAACATCACTGGGTTGAGTTTCCAACACACTTTGTAGCATCAATCAGGAGCCTGGCATTTGGCCAGATTGCTCCCCGTAGGGGCTTCTGGACTTGACCCATGCTTTTCAAGAATAACCCCGAACAAACTTTCTGCCCTGTTGAGCATCACCGGACGTCACTGTCCCCTATGCTGCCCGTTCTAAGGGGGTTTTTCCGGGGTTCCCATGCTTGCTTGGGAACCGTCTTCAATCTGTAGTCGACACTCCCGCCGAAGCCAAAGAAGGACACCTGCTATAGAATATTATGGAATAAGAAAAATGGAGCCCTAAATGCTCTGAGTGGATTGTTTCAACCGACAGCTCAAGATCCCGCGGGGCGCGCCGACAAGCAAAGGTCATTGTTGGCATGCACTTTGTCGGCTGTCGCGTGCCTTAGCAGGAAAATTCCATGGCTTCTATACAGAATCTTAGGATTCTAGCCATCCGAATTTTGGGTTTACAGTCCGAGACTTGGACATATAGTCTTTCTTCTCGATCGTGGGAAGGGACCAAGCAAAGACTGTATTCACTTAACCCGCGAATCCCACTAACATGGGCCCTCGAACTGGCCGGTCCCTCAATAGGAGAAGCATTAGCAAAACGTCACCCTGAAATTGGAAACCGGCTTTGAACCCAACTCCTGAGCCTTCATGCTCCAAATCTTGAAATTTCATTCTCAACTTCAAAGTCCTGAGCTACAACTATCCCACATAATGCTGAAACTCCCAACGCTATTTCTGTGGAATCTTTATGCTTGAGCTCCCTGCATAATTCTCTTGCAGGCCCTCACAAGGTGCGCAGGATTAGAGACGATGCGTTTCCTGGATGTTCACTCTTTTTCAGGTTTGTCTACAAAGGCATCCGAAGGAAACCAAATTAAAATTAAGGATCTCCTTCGTTTGCTAGATTTTGCCTCGTCGATCTTAAGGGTGTCGGACCCCTATACCTTGTCCCTCTTTTTGAACGCCTCACATCTCAGTCCCCGCTGCAGGAGCTCCACAGCGAGAACCGCCCAAACAGCCAGGAGCAGCATCACCATGATGAGCCTCGGACATTTCAGCGCAAGTTATGCACCTTGACCTTTGAAATGCTGAAAATGAAGCATTACCTGGTGGCTCTTCATGAATGAAGGGGCCGAAACGTGTTCCTGAAGCTGGAGATTCCTTACACATGGAACCCCGGGGCAACCCGATTTTCAGAATTTCTCGCACGTATGCCCTAGGCTATGGAGGAGTTGGGATTCCTGAAGTGAACGGTTCTTGTTCTTGTGCTCCTGACCTTATTTTGAAAAAACTCTGCGATTGAGGCCTTCGAGGCTGGGGTTAGATATGGTATCGGGAGCTAGTGGAGATTGAGCCCGAAAAGACAAGAATTGCATGGGTGAAATAAGGGCCAAGTAGTTGCGAAAACGTCCCAGGAAGCCGCTCATCACACATAGTCACACCTTCTGCATCGTTAAAGTTGCTCGTGGAGTTCAAACTTGTGGACGCCTCGCGACATGAAGGCGCCCCCCCCCCTCCCCCCCCCCAAATATCCACCGAGCAAGAAATCTTGAGTTATAGCAAGTACCCCCGAAGGCAGACCCGTGATCTTTGACAAAGTATTAGGTCCCAGCGAGGCCTTGAGCACTGAGGGTGACCTAAGGGCCTACCCTGAGAGTTTTATGGTAGACATGAGGGCCTCAATTTTGCCCTGGACAAGTGTACTTAGGCCCTCTTGGATTGGTTTGTCGCGAATCCTCGGTCCAAGTGGATTGGCCTGGGGACCTGCAAGACACTGTCATCATCGCTGAGACGCAATCCCTCCGTAGCCCCTGCACCACGACGCCCAATTCCTGTTGGCAACCTGGTTTTGTTTGTCCTGCTTAGCCTCTAACACCCAAACCCCTGCAGGCCAAAGACACCCAAGTTACCAAGTTTTTCTCCAGGAAGCCCCCAAAACACGGTGGTCAGCGCGCTGATGATGCCCGTGACCATGGCATGTAGCTCTGGTGACATGTGGACAATCCTCACAGATCTGGAAGATCAAGAGTACAAATCAGAGCTACTGATTAGGCTTGCCTTCTACTTAGAATTTGGGATTTAGGAACATTCAGAGAGTCAACCACTGAGGGCTGCTTACAGTGGAGGTTGCTAGCTATTAAATCTTCAGACACGGCCCAGTTTATGTAGCTAATAAGGCTCCGACCCCTTCCATTGCAAGCTCCCAACTCAGCAGTCTTTGGAGGCCTCTGACTTCAGGCGTGCACCGCTTATGATGGCTAAAGACCAATGGTGTCGCAGTGGTGCTCTCCCGTGCGGACTGTATGCTGCCTGGCGCACATACAAGAATTTGCGAACTAGGTAGCCGGCCGTCGTTCTGTTTTTTGGCATTGCCGACTAAAATGCCGTAGCCATTACGCGCTGGGGCAGAGGCGGTACTAACTTATGGTGAAGGCTAGCCGAAGGCCGGGAACCAAGCAAGAGAAAGTTTGAAGTAGGCAGGTACGGACTCACTCAGCCCCATTCAACACATGACCCCGGTTATACCGTTAATTATACCATCAGATAAATCAATCTTTGCTTATTAGAGTCTGGACCCGGCTTCCTATCAATTTTGCTATACGGCTGCCGGCTCCCTCAGAGCGAAACTGCAACGCCCTGACGTGGAGGCCACCCTTGAATGAAGAATCTGCAAAACGAAAACCGATCACGGAAGCTGACTGCGCTGTCTGATTTGCCAAAAGCTGACCTGGCTTTCAAGCTCTTCCAAGAAACAACCTTTAGTTTCGGGACTATACCGGGATGAGGGGGTGCAAGACATGAAGGGGCATTTTCAAGCCTAGCACGGCCCAGCCATCAGCATAAGTGCAAAGAGCGGCTCCCTTCTTTGCAGAAATTGGAGCCGCCCTTGTACATCCTAATGTGCTATAATCTTTCTTATACGTAACTCCAAAGAGGGAAGCTTCTTTTTGGACCCCCCCGCCCCTTTGTTGATCCTTGCACCTAGAGCTCCCTAATTCCTGTCATCCCTGACTGTCGAACCTCCCCAGTACCTATTCATCCATTATCAGAAGGCGTAGTCCCTGTTGCCCAAGCTTAAGCCCGAATCCTATACAGCTTAGATCACCAGAAGTCTGCAAATCCTTAGCCTTCTACCCCTCTAATCGCAAACCAGCACTTTAATCTCTAAGCCCTCGTACATACTGCCCCGAAGGCCCGAAGAACCAAAGGACCCCTTAGTAACTAGCTTGGGTATCCATTTTGAAGTACAGGGTGCCTTAAACCACCCACCAAGCGGACCGAATCTTATGGGAAACGTTGCCGAAACCGCTGAATGAAGGGGCCGCTGAGTTCATTCCAAATACTATAATGTTATTATAGAACCCTCGCAAGAAGGAGCCCCTATCCTTCTGGAAGACCGCGTTTGGAGAGCCCCGGCACCTTTGGGGCAGTAGGAAAACTCATGGACCAACTGCACCAGGTCCTTGCAGCGCGTGCCAGTCGCGCGATGCGGAAGAGCCGCAGGAGCTGGACTTCCTGTAGACCCGCCTCGGTGTATGGGGTTTAAGGATGTTTAGGGTTAAGGGTGTATAGTGGCTTGCCCAGAGCACTAAGCTTTTACCAGGGCTCCTCCTTCTCCTGCCGCGCTGCTGCATTTCTGTTCCCGTAAAACTGCAAACTCTGCCCGAGTTTCGCGTCAAGGGTTTTGAGGTTCAGAAATCACAGGCTGGGAAACAATGCCTGGGCATCCTTCGGTAGGCGGATCCAAGGCAAAAGCGGTACTGCGACCGCCAGAACTTGTCTCTGCACATTTCGAAACATCGATGTTTCTTGAAATTCTATTGGGGCTCCGTTGTAAACAGTCTGGAACCTTTCATTTTGGCGATAGACTGTGGCGGAAATAAGCAGCAGTTGATGTGAACATCCAAAGCTGTACGTCCTCGAGCACCGCACGGATCACAGTCTATGCTAGCTGTGTCCGTTGACAACTGCACGGAGGATCCTCATATGAGCTACCCTTCAACCTCGGACAGATCTCGGCAAAATGCGCAGGATATTACGGCCACGATCAAAAGAAGATCCGCTTTAAGAGGCTTAGAAGACGGGTGCATGAGGACATTGCTTAAGACTAGGCAGCAGACTCTAGATCAACTTCCTGGCCTGTAGTAAGTCAACATCCGCTTCAAATCCCCTGGCTCGGGTACGCTTATTGGGGGACGTAATTTAGATTCAGGAGGCCCATGGTCCTACAGAACTCCGCCCGTGACCCGCGAGACTGTGGAAGCAGCAAGGAAAGCCTTCAACATTGCTGGAAGCCATAAATCATAAACGCTTTATGCCGAAGTGGCGGTGGTCACCAGCGTGCTGACGATTACGTCGATCCAGGCTATGACCACCTTGGCCCAAGCGAGTCGAGCTGAAAAAATGCGGGGAAGTCGAGGCTTCGGCCTGAGGCATTTTTCAGCAGTTGAGCTACCATCTTCACCCTCTTGGATTCCATTTGCAAGAATATTTTCTGAGAGATGACAGGAAGGCTTGCCCTGATCCCAGAAACTTGTATTCAATCGAATTTCATGCGTGTGATAACAGACTCCTGTCATCAAGGATCGCAGGAATCAGAGTCCGCAAGGATTTGCTGGGCTACATCGTTCTTATGTAAGCACACGTCTTTCCCATTGGCGACCGTCATTTGTACCTCATGTCGGTAAGCGGCCTGGAAAGCATTTGTACACCGAATAATCGGGACAGAGAACTAAAACTTGGACAGAAGGTCCGCAACAGAACGTCTGAATTCGGTTTCGCTGGTGTCTGGGTGGCAAATGCGTCAGCTAACCCCTAGCCTCTGGCTGTTCGCTGTCTGTATTCGGGGGTCGTGACCATTGGTGTTGATGGACGGATTAGCGACGGGATGGTCGCAAACTAACGCGGTAACCTCAATTGGGCGCTCGATTCGGTTTTTGGGGATGGACGGGTTATTGACTGGGAGGGCCAGGTGTTGGGATCCGGAAGCGTTTGCGTGAAAGGAGACCGCCTGCCTGCTGCCGAGGCTTATCGCTCCGAAATGCTGGAAGGGTGGCAATCGGGAAAACTACTATCGGAAACAGTCCTGCTCGAGACAATGAGTTGCTCAGTGCGCATACACCCCTGAGACTCCTTCCTCGATTGGTTCTTTGTACACCCTGGTAACACTGGGTACAGTGTGGAAGGGCAGGAAGGGACAGGGATGGCGGTTTTGAGTTTTCGGCGGTGAGCGGAGAAGAATCATGGGATACTCCGTCAGTGTGGAGGCGCGCACGACGACAATATGATGGTGTCAACGCGAGTGTAGGGGCTTTGCACGAAGCCATCACCGGGCACGTTTCAGGACGCCGGGGCATGTCCTGCGGCCGGGCTGGGTGACATCATGTACTGATCCCGAGGGTTCTCGTGCATTGTGCCTACACGGTGGCGTAACCAAAAACACAGGGAACAAGCCGCTTTCCAAACTTTGGTGCGCAGTCCACCCCCTGCCCCCGCATATGGTAGCTCTCCATGGTTTTTTGTTTTCTACCTTGGTTGTTTGAGATGTACTTGGAGAGGAACCAAGGGTGCTCTTTTTGAGGGTCAGGTGTTTTTCGTTGGGAGACAGATGTCAGCAGCTGAGTAAACACCCAATTAACTGACTGACTGACCGGCTGGCTGGCTGACTGACTGACCTGGCTTTCCCACAGACAACCTACGATATCTTGAGCCACCTGTTGTAGATGACGAGACTCTGCCCAAGACGTTTCTCAGTTGATTTCCAGTCAAAAACAGAGAGAACATGGACGCTACCTTATAAGCTATAGTCTAAACTCCTAGCATCCCGCTTAATAACCCCTTTAACTATTAATACCTCCCGATATAATCCCCCATATAACCCTCTTCAGGGAGCTTAGACTATAGATCATATCATGTTGTAGTTTCCACATTTCAACTCTCAAACATGTCATAGACTCTTTCTGAAGGCCAGTATGGCTAGCAGAAAGAATTCCCAAACGGCGTGTGCAGCGAACCTTCCCTGAAATAATTACATTATAATAGGGTATATATTGGGGTTATGTAGGGTTCATATAGGGATAATGGAAAAGAAAACGGGAACTACTATAGCATATTACAATGGAATCCGGACGAAGTGGCTGCAGTGTAAGCTCTATAGCAAAATCTCTGTAGGTAAGTCACGATCATCATGTCGAAAATCATCCACCAATCACGGCACATGCGTCTTCGGTAGACGTAGAGCATGACCTTGGTTTTGCATAGGACGTGGAAGTGGCCTACGCCTGCCACATGGTTCTTTAACAACCGGTCCGCGCATACAAACAAACGAGAAAACAGACTGGTAGCAAAAAGCCGACATCTACTGAGGTCATGTCTGTATGCGTCGGAATGTTGGGACTCAAGGGGTAGACCCATACACCCCAAATCCGGAAAACAGGAACAATAGCCTCAGACATCCTGTGGAAGACTCCCTGGTAAGCTAGTTGTGATCACCGTTCATTTTGCTACTGTTACACTGCCATCCATACTTGGTCTTCTGCTTTTGCTTACCATTAGCGTAATTTGCAGACTAATGGAACAGCAGCCGCTATTAAGGAATGCTGAATGTACGGGTGTGCATCGAGCAGCGAAGGTCTCAACGGTGTAGAAGGCCACGAACAAGTAATTGGAAATTGAAAGCCAGGAAGGCATGCAGCCTTGGAATCTCGTTTCGCGCATTTTCGCGCCGGCTGAAGAGCTTACACAATCTCATTTAGACTGTCTAAGAATCTAAACACCCCTTCAAGACCTTCTCAATGGGAGACAGTCCCATTCAGGCAGCAGCCCCTTCCTCCAACACGCAGTGATTCCCAATGCATGTGCCAGATAGCCTTGCGCAGGGAATTCCTCAACTCATATCTATCGAGGGCTGTCTCTTGCGGTATGACTGCAGCCACTGCTGTTCGAGTGATTTCTATCCTCTCTCACATTCAAGGCCTCAAGTTGGTAGCTGTTGGAGCCAGCACCAGCTAAGAATATTAGTATAGCATGCACAGGGCCATCTGACCAACCCCAAACCTAAAGCCACACCGGGTTCCTCGAACACAAGGCCACCTTGAACCTTAAACTTACAAAGCTCTACAGGTTCACAAATTGAAGGTTTCCCAAGAAAAGGGGTCCCTCACTAAGGATCATAGTATTTTGGGGTCTATATTGGGGTCCTCCTGTGTTGGGAAGCTACCATATCTCCCTGTGCCCCCAAGGCAGTTCAGCAGCCGACGACCTCATCGCCGCAGGTCACGCTGGCATTTGCCTCGAAGATGATGATAACAAAGTTCAAGCAAATGATGAAGCTGACCAACATCTCCTTTCAATTGAGGGCTTTCTCAAGAGTGTTTCTGAGATTTCTTTGGAGGTTAGGGGCCTCTGGGCTTCATTGTTCAGGACCACGTAGGAAGCATTTGGAGAAGGGGCTGAATAACGCTCTAGAAAGTTCTTAGCGATGCTCCATGAGTGTGCAGAGCATATCTTTGCTTATCCACAAAGTCACCTACCTCATAATTTCAGATAGTTGTGTAATTCGGGCTTGCTTGCTTATTCAGGCTTGCTCGAGGCTTGCATCATCCCATCCTGCCTGCACCTATGCCTATGCCCATTCCCCAGCATCTTTTATTTGATAACAAGTCGCAGAAATTCCATGCTAGGGGGAAGATGATGAACCCCCTAGGATGACCGCTTCACTGTAACTAGATGTAAACTGATGAGATGTGCGTCCGCCCACAGGGTTGAAGACCTTTGAGAAGGACCTCCTTATCTACCCCCAGAACATTCTGACCCTAAACTTTGAGGGTCCAGAAATTTGAACCTCGACGGGAAAATTGCCAGCAAGATTTGCAAAGCGTGGAGAGAAGCTCGCACGCCCCGGCCACGCTTAGGATTTTCAGCATCTTCTAACCAAAGCCCTCCATTGTCCCTCACACCCTGATAATTGTGGACCAAGGTTCCCATGGAGCTGAGATAACGAGACTATAAAATCTCCTCGGCCAAGCACAGGGCACAATTTCAGAACATGCAAGAACCTTCTGCGAAGCCTCTTCTTGAAGCTGTTTCTGTTCTTGCTCACACTATCCCGTCTGATGCTTCTTGCTTTCTACAACTGTGGCTGCTGGGCTTTCCTGTTGTCACTGCTATTGCTGCTGTTGCTAAGGGCCCAGGGAAACCTCCTTGTGCAGAATTGCAGGGCTTGATCATTTTTGGTCTCTGGACTCAGCTTATGTCCCTGAATCACCAATGTGGTAGCCATGATGCATTCGAACCAACGGATATTCCTAAGCCTTTATGTGGCATTCTGTTACTCTACTTAAACTCTGGCCCGCCCCGCGCCACATCAAGTGGGGCAGGAAATCAACATGGGCCTCCTCAATGCACCTGCCTGGTGTCCAAAGCTCTGCGGATTGGTTTGACGGTGATGGTCGGCATTCTGTGATTAGGACCCGAAAGCCGAAACAGATTAAAGAGGATCTTCATGATCTGCAGGCAAATCACGCTCACAAAAACGTGCGAACCTCCAACTTTCATCTCCAGATGCTAAGTGTTGCCCTGATTTGAGCCAGCCCAAGTGTCAGGGGAACTTAGTAAAGTATACACATGAGCCCCACAAGCCTGACCCTCCAAGTAAGTGGTACACTGAACAGCCCTGTAGGTGCTCCGTAGCAGACCTAAGTATCAGTACAGCAGTCGACTCAGTGCCCGGGAGATTGGGTCTCAGATGGATTTGCTTGAGCTTTTCTGCTAAAGTAGGGTCCTCTTAGTTTCCGCAAACATTTGGACCTCCATACATGGGACCCAAACTTTGTGAAACTAGGCGCGGCTAGAACAGGATCCTCTTCTGGATCCTATCCGAATCGCCTCACAAATGGCACTGATCCTGGGCCATCCTGTGTTCATGATTCTCTCAACCTGGACACTGAGCAGATCTGGGTGTTGAGGACAATTTCTTGTATCAAAATATTGAGCCTTGTGTGCATAATCATTTTCCCCCACCAACTTCCATGCACCCTCATCCAGAAGTAATCCTGGCAACACATAAGCTGGCGCTTCAAAGGCACCGATTGGGTGGACACCGTGGTAAACTGGGCATTTGCACCCACGGCAAAACATCAGTGAACTAACTGCACCCAAACCCCAAAGCAGATGCCAAGCATCAATCTCCCCAACAGCCTCTACTTGTGCGGCTTTAGTCTTGAGATCCATCGTCTCTGCAAACGTGCTTCTTCCATGCACCAAAATAATGCTCAACGCTTGGCCTGGCTTTAGTGTAAGTCAGCCATGTCTCCATCGGCAGTAGGAAAAGTTTGCCAAGTCCTCCCAGTGGGCTGAACTACGGCGTTGGGATTTGGAGATCAGGGTGTAGGGCTAACACTTCTACTAAGATTCTTCGTGCTTTCCCTGAATGTATAAGGGGAAACACAATTCCAAGAAATACTTCACGTTGACCCTCTACTGAACGGCATGCCTGAAGCCGACTCTGGGCTCATGGCTGGGTTTAACCAACCTTCCCCTCAGTACATGTGGGTTTTCTAAAATTAGGGGTACCTTTTGTGGGGTCCCACAATAGGGGCGAAAATCTTTTGGGGTCGTCCGACTTTATCATGGGCCTTGTTTTTGATCCACATCAATATACATCTGTGGTCTCCAAAAATAGCAGTTCCGTTGTAGACCCAACGTACTACAATCTCATTACAAAAAAAGACCTTCAATTTTCGTAAACCTCCGAGAAGGGACCCCAAATTTCAATAAAGGCCCATATCGACTTCCACATTGGCTGGGGCAGTTTCTTGATACCTTTGGCAATAAGCCGCAGGCGGTGCATCGCGCAGCGCCCCGATCCTCTACTCTGAAGCCATGACTTGTACTAGTGACTGTTCGAAAAGACGTCAAAATACTCACTGTTCAGGATTCTAGTTTGCGGCGGATGGAGGAAATACTTCCGGAGTTGCCTTGTGTTGGCTTTCGGCGTTGCATATATCGGGGTCCTAGGCGCAAGACTTTCCCATCCACGGCAATCCCTTGATATTGAACACGGAGCACATCGAGCTCCGTGTCTACAATGTGTCTGGCCAGCGGTTTGGGAGTCCTAACAGACCCAAACCCCAGACACAAATCCACTACATCCTGACAGCTCCCCTTACTTGTGTCCTTCGAGTTGAACTTCTTATCCTTCAGCGCCTTCTTGTGTGCCGCCGCAATGCCTGGAAGCCAGATTCCAGGTGTAGGCTTCAACAGGGTTTAGGGATGGGATTGAGGGTTTGTAGCGTTTACAGTTTTAGGGCTTTGGGCCGAAGGATTGGCATAGACCTAAAGACAAAAAGCCATGCTGGCTTTGTGGGAAGCTTTGGAAACACCCTAAGAGATGATGCGAACCATCATCACAAACGCCCATAAGCCCACTCAAAAAACTCCGCTCCATATGGGTAAGTTCAGACCTGGTTGTCATCCGTTTGAACCCCTAGCTACTTCAATCGTTTCCGCAGTATCGAGCAAATATCCTCGACCCTCGGCAAAAATCTGGACCCTCATACAGGTCTATTCCACAAGGACTCTGTTCTCTTTCGGTTTTTGTGGGCGTGAGGGTACGGTTGGGTTGTGGTCATTTAGCTTGCTTCAGGTCCAGGGTGGCACTCGGACAACTGCTGGGAGACTCTCATTGTGACTCCTGAGCCACCCCTTGAATTGAACCGTTGTCCCTGAATCCTGCAACCCTTTCCTAAACCGACAAGCCTGTTTCCTGAACTCCAACCCTTGTGTGCTGGCGCCTTCACTCTGGTAGAGCTGACCTGGAGATTGGTTGAGCCTGGACATCAGCGGAAAGTGCATAAATGAAAAAAACAGCTGGTTTATCAAACTCATCGGGCCCTTTTGTTGTTTCAGGTTTTTCGACTACGTGGTTTGCGTGGAATAATGAAGACGGCCCTTCTCAGAAATACCTAGGAGATCCACGTGCGCGTCACGGTTGAGTTAGGTCCATAATCAAGCACTATGCCGATAGCTCAAACTTCTCTCCTTCAGAGAATCTTCTGTGGTGTCTTTACGAATTCCTTCTCAGCAGAACATGCTGACGGTAGCCATGCTTGCTTGAAGACCTACGTAATCGCAGAACAAAATGCCATCTGAGATGGAGCCGCTGTCCTATGCTCCTGCATCCATCCAAAGGACAGAATGCAATAGACCTGCACCCCCCCGAACCGCTCACTGGGCCACCAAGCATA